ATTGTGTACATTTCTAGTAAGTGTCTATTTAATACGAGGGTACTTCAAAAGTTTGCGGACATGTTCCCATGAACTTTTTAAAGTCTTGGATGGAATTCCTAGTAGCTGGTTCTCTGTCAAGTGCAGAGCGTTTTCAACATTGGCTGCATCCTTTGGGCTTCTGGGGAAATATTAACATAAACATAAAGGACTTCCGTGGAGGAGCCGGGGGTTGAACCCGGGACCTCGTACATGCGAAGCACGCGCTCTACCACTGAGCTACACCCCCTCCTACAAAGGGATATCGAAAGATTATCTATAAAGTAACTTTGGTTGTTCATTTTTCCGGTTGGAGGAATCCTGCTAGAGTAAATCGCATCATTGAAGCAGTGCGTACTATCCTTCACCAGGACACGATTCCAGGAAACTTTTCCGCTCCTGTCGGCCAGCTCAGAGCTCCCTTACAAGCAGACGGCAGCTGCTTGCCTGGCCCGAGCCGAAACACGGGCTTTCACCAATACCCAGGCGAGGTGCTCCGCAGGCTCCAGGCAGCCGCCAACTTCCGTCGAACTAAACTGGACAATTGCACTTCACCCACGTGGTGCCGGGTGTTCTGCCAACATTTACTTCCAAGCAGACACTCCCAGTCCTCCTCCCCTCGAGTTCTGAGATTGTCCTCAGTTCGCTGCACGCCGCCATCTCTAAGTCCCCCGCCCCAGGACTATACAAACAACTAATTTCAGAACAAATGCAAACACACTCTTAAAAAACCCCACTGTCCCTAAACAACTGACCTTATGCTAGACCGGGAGAAGGGAGAGGGCAGGCGCCACCGCAGGGCGGCCACGCAGGTCGGGGAAGGAGCGAAGCTCTACCACAATGGAGCTGTCGGCTCCACACAAGGAGAGATGGCTGAGAGGATGAAAAAGGCCACATTGTCCCTGGAGTCTTTTCAGAGTGTCGTCCACGAACGCCAAGCGCAAAGAGGGCCTGCAGAGCAGGACGCAGGCGGAGCAGCGGGGATGCGGTGGGATGTGGCCAAGCTCTCCGCTCCGGCCTCAGTTCTGCACGTTTTGTGGGAATGGCCCCTCGCCTCCAACATGCGTGTCTCGCTGCTTAGAGTGCTTCGGGTGACCCTGCCAGAGGCATGCAAGTGCTCCCTCGAGATTTGCACCAAACGGCTTAGCATTTGGAATACAGATGTTTGCTGGTGATGGAAAGAAACCTTGAAAGCTCTCAGAAATGGTTATTGGAGAAAGTGGATTCGGAAGGGTGTGTGTGTGTGTGTGTGTGTGTGTGTGTGTGTGTGTGTGTGTGTGTGTGTGAAACTAGAAGTCTTAGCAAAAACTGCGGATCTTTTAAATCGTTTCAAGAGATTTCTGATTTTAGTGTAGAACTCTTCAAACCCAGCCTTGGCTGTGGATCTCTCGCTTTCCTACCCAGCCATTCTCTTTCCGTGAATCAGTCAACTATAACGGGCAACCCAGAGCCTGTACCGCTCTCCTATTCCTTTGTGTTTGGGGGTGCTCATAACCGTAAGATCAGTAGATGCCAGCAACATAAAACTGAAGTAGCTCAGTTTTAAAGTCAATCTCTTGGTGATGGATTTACCTCGGGGGGCGGGGGGGGTGAGCAGGGGAATGAATGATTAAAAGGGGTTTTTAAAGCAGGAAACTTGAGTATTTTATCGAGATGCAGTGCTGTTGGGGCAAAAAGGAATGAAAGTTCAAGATGACCTGTAGTCTCCCGCGTACTTAGGCTACATGAGTGTTCTACACGACCACGTAGACTCCATGCTTCAGTGAATCTACCACTGATGGTTGTCCTGATGCGTGCGTATTCCAGTTGGGAGGACCAAGTCTACCAGCTTCACTATTTTGTTGCTCTGCTATGGGCAAGATAACCACGTGCTAGATGGAAGGCTACTGCTTCCCTTTCCCCTCTGTTACTTCAGGTGAATCTACCCTTGAGGAGATAACCAGAGCATAGTTGCATCTCACCACCAGGGAGAGGCTTGGCTTGGCATGTGTTTAGTCTCCAAGTACCTTTCATTTCCATTCACCTTTATCTGCGAAACTGTCAGCAAGACACAGAAGATAGTGCAAGAACCATCTGTGACCACATATCAAACATCTCAAAATCAGATCATAAAAACAACCAAACATGAGCACATACACTTCATTTACTTATATTCCTTGAGTCAAAAAGTTGGGCATGGTCTGGCTTGGCATCTCTCCAGCTTCCCGGACACCTGCCGGGATCGCCTGCTGCTTTGCCCTTAGTTCATGGCTGGGTTGGGCTCAATAATCCTACATGGCTTCAATCATGTGTCTGCCGTATCAGTGCCACCTGCTGTAGTTTTCTTCTAGTCGTTCTCTGTCTGTGCCCCAACTTGAATTCCCTCATAGCATGTTGACCTGAATATTCAGACTTGCTGTATGGCAGTTTCCAAAAGGGCTATTCCTGCAGAACTAGAAACTGCAAATGTATTTGGCCATTGATGAATGTAAATGACATCAAAATCATAGGCCTTCAAAGGAGAACCCCTTCTACTATTCGCACAACTGGATTAGGAATGAAACAGGGAGAAAAAAAAGGTGACCATGAAGCAACATTGAACTCTCAATATTTTTGTTGGTGATCAGTTGACTTACCCATCAAGTCATGGAGCTAATTTATGCCCAACGTGGCGACTGCCAATATTAAAATGAAAACCATATAGTAAGGTCAGAAACTTTCAGTTCATTTCTTTAAAGATATCACCTGCTCAAAAGACCAGTCCTAAGTGGATTAGCATTCTGTAACACTTGTAAGGAGATATGATACTTTCTGAAATGCCTTTTACTTAAAATTGAAGAATGGCAACATGAAAAATAAAAGTGACTGAGGTGTGCAATGGGACTTCTGTGCAAGTTATATTCCTAGTGACCGCACTGGAGACAAGCTTCCCGAGCTAAAAGCAAAACTCAGCAATGAAGTTTGGATTGGTCACAGTGGAAAATGCCAGTGAAGAGTCAGAACGGGTGATGTAATTAGATACTTGAATTGGAAGGAATGAGAAGGTGTTTGCTCCAAGATGGAGAGAAACTATTTCTTTTTAAAACAGGAAATTTTCTTTTGACACATAATCTTGAATTGTTTGCTAGTAAGTCTTCTGATACAATTATTTTATCCCACAGGTTTGAACACTTTATATTTAACGGGAAGACTGAACCATCCAGTGTTTGTCACCGTGGGAGTATTTTTAAAAAATTTTTTCTTTTTAATATTGCTTACATAGTTGAGAGGGACACATGCCTACGTGAACCCCTCTGGTTAGGGTACAGAGGGTCAGGTGTGGAGCAAGGTGGGTGGCACAAATGTTTCAGTTTTTTCTCCTGTGACCACACAGGAGGGGATTCTCATTATTCTCAAGCTACATCAGCACCTGGGGATGGGAGATGGTCTGTTGTTGACATCTTAAAGACCCCAATGTGGGGAAGAGTGTTCTGAGAAGTTGCTGGTTTATTGCTCCGGGGTTGAGGAAATCTTTTCAAGGCCTATTGGTTGACAAAGTTGATCTTAGTGCATCCACAGACCCAGGAACATGCTGCAATGCTCGGCCAGGATAGTTATCCAAACTGCTCTGCTCTCCATGCTCTGACAAGGCAGTCAGCATCCCCTTCTGGCCTGGATACGTAGGATATCAAGTCCCCCTTGTGCATCTGGATATGCTGCCCACTGCACAGGCATTAGCAACTGAGGAGACCCAGTCCCGATACAGACACTCCAAGAGTGGACCACTCATCCATCCTGCGATTTTCCCTGTGGCCAGGGTGTGAGTCCAGAGGTTCAGTTGGGGAATGAAACCTTGCCTGGTGATCTCAGATTTGACGTTTGTATGTGCTAGCCAGTGCAGGTTCAAGTTTGTTTCGTCAGCTACATTTGCTAAAGCACATACTGGTCAGTTCCTCCTCAGTTCCATATTTCACAAGAACAAAATGGTGCTGGGGTCCAGCTCAGCCAACCTGCCTCAGACTCACTCTTCAAGCATACCATGGCCTAATCTGGGTGATTCCCAGGCACCAGGCTTGCCCCTAGCCTCAGTTTTTGAAGGAGTCAGCCTATACTGTAACCTAGCCCAGCAGGCCCACATCCCATTCTGCTCTTGTGTACACCCATGGGTGCTGCGGCTTAGCTCAGCCTGACCTGCTTGTAGACCCAGCCCTCAAAATGCCGACATGTGCTGCTGCCTTGTCAAGCCTGACCTGCCCCCGGCTCTGGTTCTTGTGCTCACCAGTGAGAGGCATAGCCTAGCTGTGGAGTGCCCACAGCTCCCCTGCCAGCTTTGTTTCCAGTCCTGGAGCTTGTGCTTGCCAGGGGGTACGGCGGTCTAGCCTGATATTGATTTCATCAAAGCCAAGACTTCTTTATTTGAAGCTTTCTGAAAAATAGTGCTGTTTATCTTTGGGAGTGAGCATCACTTTGCCTCCAAGAATACCGCCAGATGATGGTGGGACTTCTATTACTCTTCCTTGCCTTTCCAGGCTCATACTAAAGAAAGAAGAATTCTTGCGCAGATTCATGTTTTATTCCAGGTATACGGCAATATTTCATATATAGTTGCGTGTCCAAAGCATTTAATTTTCAGCCTGCATTATTTTTTCAGGAATGGTTGGAATCCTTATACATAGCACCTTCCTTTTTTCCACTGCTACTCTTTAGATTAGCACTTACAGCTAAAGAAGTTGCACGTGGATCTGCAATTTTTTGTCCATCTTCATTTTAGCATCTTATGTAATAGTGTAGAAAGGCTGTCCAGACAAAGAAGCTCATTATGGCTGTGCAAGTGAAAAAGTTCATTAATTTGCTAGCGATCATGTGCTAAATAAGCATCTAATTTCCTTTTGTTTTGATTCTCATTTCTTCCTCTTGTTATGATGGCAATCATTTTAATTTTTTTTTGTAAGTTGGGAGGAAAGTATAAATAAATTTAGGAGAGTAAAAACATGTGTATGATACAAAATGAGTTGTGGAAAAACTGGAGGTGCTGGGTATCGAACCCAGGGCCTTATACATGCAAAGCATACGCTCTACCACTGAGCTACACCCCCACCATACTGACAGAGTATTTGGTGATATAATAGAAAATATGAGATCCTCTCTAGAATCAAAAACAGCAATAAAAATGAACATTCTGGTTACTCCAGGTATAGTTTAAGAACATTCTAACATTATGTCTTCATCTTCTTTTCCAGAATCTGCTATTTTTAAACATGTATTTTCTCTATGTGTTGTACATCGCTGTTACTGGTACTTGCAGCAATTATCTTTCTAGCAAATTAAAATAACACTCCAAACTCTCCCTCTTCTTATGCATGTTATATCATTATACCATCCTGTACTTTTTCATTTCATTCTGGTAGATCTACTCTTCCTTGTATAGAAAGTCAGGCTGAATGTTTTTCTTCAGCATTTAAAGATATTTTTATGATGTCTTGCTTAATAATTTCTCACAGCTTGGAGTGAAATAAGGGCGAAGCACTTTTAAAATATATATTTATATGCTTTAAAGGACAGCAAAAGGCCTAATCTTTATAAAAAGGAAGTTAACCCTCTTTGAATCTGTCTTCAAACATCTCATATCATCTTTTTTCTTCTATTTACTTATTTATCTCTTGAAAAAAAATTGATGGCGGTTTTTTGTCATTTAAAAACGTGGACATTTAAACACACCTTTTTTATTTAGAAAAATGTAATCTGGTGGGAAGGAGTGAGAGATGAATCTTTTTTTAAAAAAAAAGATTTATTTTTTTAAATATTTATTTATTTTTATTGGAAAGGCAAGTTTACAGAGAAAAGGAGAAAGAGAGGGAAAGATCTTCCATCCGCCTGTTCACTCCTCAAGCGGCCTCAATGGTCAGAGCTGAACCCATCTAAACTCAGGAGACAGGAGTTTCTTCCGGGTCTCCCACGCAGGTGCAGGGTCCCAAGGCTTTGGGCCGACCTCCCAGGGCGCAAGCAGGGAGCTGGATGGGAAGCGGGGCAGCTGGGAAAGAACCGGTGTGCAAGGGCCGTCATCGCACCAGACCTGGAGATGATTCTAAGAATTTCCTAGTTTCATAAACTACTCATGAAAAATAACAACAAAACAAAAAATCAATTCAGTTGTAAAATGGTAAAAATGTGAAATATTTTCCTGAGAAAATCATTTCCCAAACTTTTTTTTATCTCCAGAAAATAATAATAATGAAGTTATAGAGTCTTATATTTTTATAAATTGAATCTCTTTGATGATCTGACCCCATAAAGATTAGAAAACTCAAGAATTTTCTGGAGACAAAGAGGAGTTTAATTTCTAAGACTTTAGAGTGCTATTATTGTACTCCTAACAACATTTTGGTTTTTTGCAAACTGGAGACACTTACCAGTCACTAATAATGAATTTCCATGACCACGCTTGGCGGTAGAACACGTCCTCCAAAGGTTGGTTGGCTTTTCATTGTGGGGGTCTTTGTTATTCACCAACCCTCTTCCCTGCTTCTTACAGGTTTTCTCTGATGGTGTCGCTCCATTTGTATTCCACTGACTTCAGCACTAGCCAGAAGCAAAATGGACGGGGGACCTTCTTACTCCAAATTACCAGCAGAAAGAAGCCGGATGCCACGTGAACAGAAATTAGCCTTGGTTACAAATTCTCAGTAACTTTGAAGAATGTGAAAGATAGTGAAGAGCAAAGTAGGGAGTCCTAAGCATGCTGCCCTCGGAGCTGTGCCTGGGTCCATAGACGAAGTGTAGGAGAACAGTTCAGCCAAGATTTGAATTCCCACCCTCCCTTTTGTCTTCCTCCGCCGGGGGTTGGAATCAACCAGCGTCCGCGGAAAGCAACAGATATTAAGTCTTTGCAAACTAACAACTTTATCCTACAGAAACAACACTTTGGGGTTTTGAAGCTACAAAATTCAAAATAAATCACTGAAAAATAAAGGTTAGAGAATCACCACGCAGGAAGCCGGAATAGCTCAGTTGGGAGAGCGTTAGACTGAAGATCTAAAGGTCCCTGGTTCAATCCCGGGTTCCGGCATGAAGACATACCTTTTTTGCCCAGTCTGAACTTTGGTGACAATTCAGGTTAGACAACTGAACTTTAGGAACCAAGTCTAATCCTACACTGCCCACATAATTTTCAGTAAAAGACTATAGCTTCAGTACATAGTAGATTTATACTTCAATAAGTTGTATTGCATTCTTAATCTGACAGAGTTGGAAACCAAAGGCCAATGTTTGACATGATATATGTGCTAATAAAAAAAAAATGTACTAAAGTATGAGGCATCACAAAAGTGGCCCCTTTTGAGAGGCACCGCAGCATGAGGGTTGAGGGGAAGAACGCCCTATGACAAGGGGGTCACAGCGCGCCTGACAGCATCCTTGCACAACATGTGAATGGCTGCGTGCAAATCAAGCTCTAGATATGGGCACAAACATGGAAGTTCGCAAGAGTCACAAAATGTTAAACTTCATTTCTCTCTCTCTCTTTTTAAAATGTAATATCCTGTGTTTGCTTCCACAGCTGGCATACTGACACTGGGATGGTGTAAGAGGTTGGTCCCCGTGCCATTTCCAGGCTGACACACAAATAAGGAGAGTGCTCTGCATACAGGTGTGCATTTATCTGTCACTATTCCAAAGGGTAATTGTATCTTACAGACGATAGGCACCAACCTGGGGTAGACCCTACTGCCAAAGCCCAGATGGTCCTGGAGGAGGCACAGTTTCAGTAACTCCTCCCCAGAACAGAAGTGAAAGGTCAAGAATGCAGGATCTTCAGCCTCTGCATCTCACACTAGAACTTGCAAGCTTACTCACTAAGGTCCGCAGATGAGCCTCCCCAGGGCACACACACGTCAGGAATTCCGTTGGTAACTTGTCCCAACTGGTGAAGAACCTTCACGTTTTCCTGATTGCAGGGGAAACGCTCTTTTGTTTTTAAGGAGATAAGATATAATCACTACTGCTCAAGAATGAATTGTCCACAGTCCAGACCACTGAGTAAACTTTGCTTTCTAGGATGTGCAATTCCGAATGAGGGGAAGACAAGCACCATTTCAACTGTAGCTTTGACAGAGAAGAGAAATTCTGTGGATATTCCAAGGAAGTTTCAGAATCATAACAGCATGTCAAGAAACTCAGAATTCCAGAGTTGCAAGCTCATTCTGTTGTTTCCATCAAGCTTACATTCAGGAGGACTTCGTCTCCCAATCCTGACTGCGCCCCCTCAGTCTTCACTGTGGGTTCAGGGACCCGTTTCTGCACAGCTCAAGAGACGTCACCCCCTCAGGGAGCGGACTGCTTATTACACACTTCAGTGAGATCGACTGGTAGACATCTTTGTCATAGTCAACCCAAATTCTCCTTTATTTATTTATTTGTTTGTTTGTTTAAAAAACTACCTCTAGTCGCAATTCCCCAAGCACACCACTCGCCCAAGAACAGAACACCACACGGGAGATGGCGCTCTTTGTAGACACCCTGCCAGGCACCACCGTCCACAGAAGGCGAGTTAGTCTTTCCCGGCAGACGTTCTAAGCTCGTTCTTCCTGCCCCCTTTTGAACGAACAGGTTAACAATCCTATGGCCAATCTCTCTTCACCATCAAAGTTAGTCTTGAGTTTATCCGTGCGACCCTAGGTGCCTCCCTCATGTTGTGTCTGTAGCTACACTAGGACATAGTGGAGGTAGCTACAATAATGACTTGTGATTAACTTTAGGCCAACTGACCTTCAGACTTGCAGCTGATTCTGTTTTTTTGTTGTTTTTTGTTTTCTTCCAATGTAGCGCATCCTTCTGTCCACTCTTGTATAATCAAGACAATCAAGCTCTCCTCCTATGTTTCCTTTTAAAGCCTTGAAAACCAGTGAGTGCTCAAGTAAATAGCTTTGTAAAACTTCATCACAAGCTCTCCACCTCTCCGTTGACTATGGCATGATCACAAAGATGCTCTCAGACCGGGGAGTGTCTTGGGAGAAAGCAGTCTGATGGGAAGGTGGGGTAGGTGCGCGGAGGCGCAGGGTGGAGGCGCCGGACCCCTCGGGGTGAAGCCCGGGGCTCGCGTCCCCCAGCACGGCCCCCGCGGGAGACCCCTAGTTCTCCAGTCCCGCCCCCTGGAGAGAGTTGTGCTTTTGGAAGGACCGCGGCCGGTGGCCCGGGGTCTCCATAGGGAAGCTGCGTAGCCCCCTTTGCGTGTTTGCCTCTGGCTCGGGAACCAGTCTGGATGCCCATGGCAAAGTCAGGCAGATCGCGAAGAACGGTGCCTCAGTGCTTCTGGTAACGCTCTTCCGCAGCGTTCGGTCGCCTTCCAGCGCAGTGGAAGTCCCAAGGGGGAAATAAAGCCAAAAACAGAACAGTTAAATGCATTAAAAGTACTTTCTAATAAGAAGAAAGTAGACTGGTAAATTGAGGGCCCCGTGGCTTAGTTGGTTAAAGCGCCTGTCTAGTAGACAGGAGATCCTGGGTTCGAATCCCAGCGGGGCCTTTCTGTCTTTGCATTCTATGATTCCTTTGTGTGGTCTATTTTCTGCCTCTGGACACTTCCCTTACTTTCCATCTCTTGTCCTTGAACCTTGGTAACAAAACCAGAATTGATGCATTCCCTCAGGATACAAGGAAGATAGTATGATGGTTTTGAAAGCACATTTTCCACTGAGTTTTTCCTGTAGTATGGCGTCAAATATTCCAATCTTCACATATCACATCACAGCCAATCAATGTATTTTGAAAATCATTCACTCATGTTCATTGATTCAAAAGGCAGAGAGAAGACAGAAAAGTCTTTCATTTATATGGTCCCAAGAGCCAGGCGCTGGGAGCTCCATTCTGGTCTCACGTGAGTGACAGATCACCTGAGTCATTGCTTGCTGCCTCCCAGAGTACACATTAGCAAAAGTCTGCACTGGTTGTACATTCAGGACTGGAATTCGGCACTTTGATTTGGGGTGTGGGTACAGTAAATTGTGTTGTACTCACCGTACCAACTCCTGCACCAAAAAGAGCTTCTTCATAAAAATGCTTTAAATGAAAATGAGACGATGATCAAGGATATTTCCAACCTGCT